GCGGTGGTGCCGCAAGGGCGGGGGGAGGGAGGTGGGTGCGCGCGGGTACGAGGGAGAGAGGAGAGGAAAGGTAGTCGGAGGGAAAGAGAAGGCGAGCGAACTATTGGGAATAATATATCAATACCCATCGAACCCACGCATACGAATGCGACGGTTCGGCGAGAGGGTGCTTGCTCGGGGGTAAGGGGCGCCGGGGTTCGCTCGATCGGCGGGGGAAGGGGGGAGGGGGAGAGGGACGGGCACGAAGGGGTACGAGGGCGTTCGGAAAGAGTAAAAAATATTACACCCTCACATACTGGCGCCACGTCGCGGATGAAACGGGCACTGACCAATACCAATAACGGGCGGCACAAAAGAATGGCCGGTCGGTGTGCGAAAAACAGACCCACACAGCGCCCCGGCTCCTCGCTGCTTCGGTGGCATTATAGCTTTTCACGTACCCGGTGGCTCCTCGATACAACAGTGACCAACTCGTCGGACCGGTTCGTTTGAAGGAAATTTCGACGCGGTCATGCGACGCCACGACCAGCGAGGAAGCCCCGTGGAAAAATTAACCCTTGTAGTGCCGGGGCTTTTTTTGGCACGTTAAGTGCAGCCCTAGGGACGCAGAGAGAGAGAGAGAGAGAGAGAGAGAGTCCGCGCTCTTTTCTTTCGATTTTCGGATTTGGTATTTTTGCTTTCGTGGGCAAACTGCAGAGGAATGATGTGTTGTCGAGATTATCTCGATTGAAGCTATAGAAAATACGATACGGAAAATCCAATCGTTTTTACGCGATGTTTAACAGCACCTCCTTCGATATTGCTTGTTTATAAACGTAATGATCGTTAGGAAAATTTGCCATCTAAATTAAAAGTCTTATTACAAAATAAAATAGATATAATACGTACGGTCATTAAAAATAAAATAATGTGCCACTTAACGAATTGGCTTAGTTAGCCGGAAACATAATTTAATCAACCGCTATATCGTTTATTGATAGAATTTTAGATAAAGTATTCTAAAATTAATTGACCGAGATTGTACAGTTGAAATATGTTTTCGGTCTCTCGAAATAATACAGTTTTCTATAAATAATAATAGAAAAATTTTATTTGTTTAATAGTAATTTTGACGTAGGAACGATGTTGCGACTTTTTATTCTTTATCCTCTTGTTTCACGTAAAACGCGTGCGCGATATACAAGTAATTTATACCTCGATGCATAGTTATTAATGATTCGCGAAATTGTAGTATAACGTGAAAACGATTGGGGGATACTCGTCGATTCGACTCGAAACGCTACAAGATTCCTGGCACTCAACAACGTCGAAGCGTTCTCCATCTCGCCGGCCACCCGTGGACGGGTGACACCGGTCACCGGTCCACGCAGCTGTCTTGTTCGCTGACTTGTTCCGGGCAACCCTGTAGATGCCACGTAGCACGGGCACACGGTATGGGTGGGTACGAAGCGCGCGTTTAGCATTTGAAAAAAGCGCTGGCCGGGCGACCGCCTCTCGCCCGAATCTCCCATACACCCGCACAAACAAAAGGCTACATTTAGCATTAAAAAAGCACGCAGACCGGCGCTGCCCGTGCCGCGAGGAGGGTGAGGAGGAAGAATCAAGGGGGAAAGAGGGGGGAGGGAGGGAACCCGGTGGGTGAGATACGTGCAGACTGATGCCGGTTACTCTCATCTCCGCGGCCGTACGGCCGGACATGCGGTCCTCTTCCACGATGCGCACGCTCGCGCGCGGCCGCACGCACGCACGCACGCACGCACGCACGCACGCATATATACGCACGCGTTTTGGTCCGCGAAAAGTAGTGCGAGAGGGAGGTGAATAGATAGTGCGGATAGCGGTGAGAGATAGATAGGGACAGACAGAAAGAGAGAAAGAGAGAAAGAGAGAGAACGAGAGCGCGGGAGAGTTGGACAGAGGTGGCCGCGCGGAGCGTACCAGGCCACGAGGCCGGTGGTGCGAGGGCTTTGGATCGGGACAGAAGTGGTTGATGCATTGGGACAAACACATTTGGCATTAAAACAGCTCCGACACTATACGTAGTCTGCAGGAGCAACGTCCCACCGGTGGCGCGGCGCGGCAGCGACGGTGGCGGTGGACCGACGCGCGCGCGTGTGTTGCATGGACGGAAACGCGCGCGTTACGCGTTGCGTTTCTCTCTCTTCTTCCACCTCTTTTTCTTTCTCTCCCCCTCCTCTCTCTCTCTCTCCCTTCCTCTCTTTTTTCCCGTGGTCCATCGCTATTTCGCTTCCTATTCTCTTTCTGTCGGTACTCTCTTTCTGTCACCTTCCGCGCGTTGCGATCCGGGCGCGCGCGAAGCGTTGTACGCGGAGTAACACACGTCCGTGGTAGCTGCGCGCGTGTGCTTGTACCTATCAATCGTGTTCGGGGGCTGCATTTTTTCTCGTCCACCACGAGCGGGCCTCCGCGCCGGAACGTGAGGCGGAATGAAAATAGAAGTGCAGTAACGTCGATGAAAAAAAAAAAAAAAGTAAAAATGATCGGAGCCCCGGGCCGTGTGACGGCATTTCGACGACGGCCGCGACGGCGCGAGGACGCACCGCGCGATGCCGCGTTGATGCCGATTTGCGGATTGTCGGCGTCGCACCGATTTCTTTACGCGGAGACAGTTGGAACGCATGTTTGTCCTCTCTGTTTCGCAAAATGTTTATATATATAATACTTTTTACTGTGCCCTACGCGGACATCTCGACAGCCTATCGAAAAATGTTTTTTTCCTAAAAAATACGATTATGTGTTAGATCCGTTACATATATATCTTTGACGATTAAAAAAAAAGCGTAAAGAATTTAGCTAAATTGCTCAACGCATATGAATTAGACATCTACTGATCGCAATACTATATTATCCCATATGATGGCGGACAAGAAATACAATTATACATAGTGCGTATAGCGACAATTATATCTGTCGGAATGAGTTTACATAATGCGATACCGAAGCTTCGTACACAGCGGGCGAAAACGCTCGAGTTTAACTCACTTTATTTGTGGTATATTATAACAGCCACATAAATCACATGTAATTTATCCGTTACATATTACGTCATTTTATATCGAATTTGCGCGTTGATAATGTACCCAGGACGATCGAACGATGTACCTATATTTTTGCCGATCGTATAACCAACAGTTTCACCTTTCAAACTTCATCCTCCGCATTTCACCCCTCAATCTCTCGCTCGCACCTCGCCTTGATTATATTACGCGTAATTAGTATAACTCTAGAAGCATCAGGCGATAAAGTATTATCGAACGAAACGAAGAACGGCGTATCGGGGACTAGAGAGAAGGAGAAGAAGAAGAAGAAGAAGAGGAGGAGGAGGAGGAAGAGGTGGAGGAGGAGGAGGAGGAGGAGGAGGAGGAGGAGGAGGAAGAGGAGGAAAGGCAAAAGAGGAGCAACGAGGAGCAAGCAGGGAGCCTGTCCAGCTCTCTTCTCTCTCTACCTCCTCTTCGGATAATTAAAAATAATCCCCGCGGCCCTTTACTCCTTTTTCGCGGCTCATTAAATCGACCATAAATTATGCATCGAAAATTACGGGCAGGGCCACCGAATATCGGTACCAAGCGCGGGCCCCCGACCGGCATAATAAGCAATTTGTAATCAAGAGGCGTCGTACGGGTGTTATAGTTAGTAAGAAATCCAATGGAAGTCCCATCCCGTTCCGTCCCGTCCCATCCCCGTCCCGTCCCGTCCCATCCCGTCCCGTCCCGTCCGCGGACTGCCGGTCGAGGCAGGCGCGGAGCGGGGGCGAAGGCAGACGCGTAAAAAGAATTGCAAATTGCGAATTAGCATTATGTCCCGTCTACTCAAATCGTTATTATCCCCGACGAGTTCTGCGCCGCTTCGTCCTGAGCTTGCCCCCGGGGATGCGCTTTGTCGTGATACTCGGCGCAAATCGGATTCACGTCGCTTCGAGTACCGAGGCATCCGGTTAATACGGGCCAGGAACGGACGAAAATTAAATATCGCGCGTATCTGCGGTGCGTTCGCCCATGCCGCGCGCGCGCTACGCCGCGAAAAATAGCCAGTAAACCAGGAAGAAACCGCACGCGGTTCGCCGCGATGCCTCGCATCGACCGCACAAAGAATCTCCGTTTCCACGGCTCGACTATTTCTGATCTGCTAAGCAATTTTTCACGCGTGATAAAAATTGTTTTAGCGCAAAGAGGAACATTGGAAACGGTAATTATCATTTTTCTTTGTTTTTTTTATTCGGAAGATTTATTTAAGTTAAAATACATTTCCTTTGCAAAGACGATGACAAAATGTCGAGTTTTCTTTTTGCATAACTCAACGTAATTTATGATCTACGTGAAAAAAAGCTTATGCAAATTTTGTGTGTGTATGTGTGTGTCTGTGTAGAAAAAAACTCGTAAATGTAATTGTACAGCCTACGCTGTATTGTGCTTTTGTGTAAATCAGTAAGCGTATATCGGCAGATGAAGCGACGCTCTGTTATATGCACGTGTATCGCGCAGAATGTGCACATCGTGTATGAATGAATAAAATATAACGTAAATTTTTCTTTCACGTTAATTATTTTTTACATCATAGATAGTCAGCCTGTTATATAATGGCAAGTCTACCAAATATAATATTAATAAACAACTGAAAATATATAAAATAATTAGAAATATTACTAAATTAAAAAAAATCATACATTGTTACAAGTTTACCAGTTTGATAAATATGCAACCACTCATTATGTTAGAGTAATTGCATATTCAATAATTTTGAAAAATAGAATTTTGTAAAACGTCTTTATAAAGTGAAAAGTGTCTCAGAGTGATAAATGTTATATATTATATTAAAATAGCATATTTGTTTTATGAAGAGAGAAAGAGTTATTTCAGTTTTTCGAAAAAAAAAATACATATGATATGATGTGCTTTGATTTGACAATGCTTCGCATGCGATCATGACGCGAGTTTAGATTGTTAAAAAGACTGAGGAAAAGGGAAGAAGTCTAGAACCAGATGAAAAATCGCATTCCTGCCACATATTTTCGCGTTATGCGTATCAGATTAGTTAAACAAGATACAAATGCCGTACACGCGCGGCGGTTAATCGTACAGCGTTATATCGGAGGCATTATTCAATCTATCGGATCGATCATATGTATCCGCGCCTGATAAACGCGTAAACGTTATGAAAGCACTTTGGGTATTGATGTTTACTTTGAAAAACAGGATTAAAACGGGTATCGTGGAAATTCGGTTGATGGAGGAATCGGCGGCGGCCGTGTCTCGTTGGACCGAATTTAAATAGTGGCCAAACCATATTATTGTATTAATAAATGGAATTAGCGAAACAGTAAAGTGCTTTTAACGGGCGGTGTCTATCCTGACTTCTCTAATATGACAAATACACTACAGTACTCCGCCGGTTTCGGCGTTCTTGCATTCATTAAATGACGGTCGCAATGCGCCTCGCGGTTATTAATGGCAACGCGTCAGAATCAATTTTCATTTGTTGAATACTTATGTACGGCGCAATCCAATTTGCACTGTTCCCCGTGAAACCGTCCCGCGCCGTGCATTTTACCGTAATTGAAAGCCCTCGAATGCTTCTGACGCCTGAAAAAAAATACATGCATAAAGAAAAAAAGGCCAAATGTATATCGAGCAAGCTCATTTTTGCCAACGAAATGATTAGTTGTTGAAGATAACTCCTGAATAAATGTGTGTAGTAATTTCGCGAGACATTATTCGTTTGAGAGATACATTTTTTGCAATCATATATAAAGTAAATCTGGCACAGATTTTGTCGTTGGCAGAACATCGCAACGCATTTAATAATAATTCATTATAACGGTATGCCGATAAAAATTAATAAGTCGACTTTCGCAGAAGAAGATTCCAAGGATCAATTACGCCGTCGTCTTTCGAGATGATCAACTCTCGATAGTGTAGTTAAGAAAAGTTTCAAAAGTCGCTCCTCTATATAAACGAGATAGGTATAAATGAGAGGACGAATCTCGGGGCTCGATATTTCGTTGCCAAAGTTGCACAGTTGACAAAATGAAGCGGCGACGGTCGAGAATAATGCTCTTCCTTCGTAACCTCGGCAAGTCAGCGAAGCGGCCGAGGATCTCGAAGAAACCTAATTAACTCCGCGCTTTGGAATGAAATTATTTTTGCGCGGTCGCCGTGAAAAAAGAAAGAAAGAGGATGAGAAGAGCGAAAACGACGGGAGTAAAGACGACGTCGACGACGATGACGACGACGACGACGACGACGACGACGACGACGACGACGACGACGACGACGACGACGACGACGACGACGACGACGACGACGTATCTGAATGAACAATAAAATCGGGACAAAAAAATGCATACACC